CATTCCTTCTTCGCAATTGGGGGGGGGGGAGAAATGAATTTTCCAATCGGAGGAGCCCCTTCGGGTTCCCCGAGTGGAAATTGCTTCCGGCCCACCTGAAGCACGATCAGAACTTTATCAGGTTTTTGTAAGGTTCGACTGATCCAGTGATTCCTGATGAGAACCTGACCAAGTTCAGATCCAGCAGATCGGATCCGAAAAACTACAGGCGGGTTCAGATCAAGTTCTGATCAGGTAGGCACGATCTCACCCTGAGGTCGGCTGCCTGACCCCAATTTGATCAAATTCGGATTTGATGTCTTTGATCGGTATTTGAATGGGGTCAATTGAAGAGAAAACGATCAGATTCAGATCCGGTCCATCTAACATTAATTTTAATAAGTTGTTCGGATAATTTAATTAATTATTATTATACTATTCAAATTAAGTTTTATCAATCATTATCAATAATTATTTTCAATCTTTAAAAAGAATCATTATACTATAATTAAAATAAATTAAATTAATTGAATTCAATGAATTTAATTTAATTAATCAATTTAATTACCGGCCAGCCCTTCTCAAATGTACAGAGAGGAGGGACGATGATGCCGTAAATTCGCATTAGAGCAGTATCAAACTTACACGCAAATGATCTTGAGAAAACAAAATCACCAAAGGTCTATTTATGTTGGAATATAGCGCCCTACGCCAGTCTCCTTCTTTACCGACAGTGTGGCAGACTGCGTCGCCATGGCGCCGTTGCGCCTCTCAATGATATACTCGTACTATGCACCACTTGTGCCGCGACCGTTGTCGCATTACGTGTCTGAATAAAGCTTAATTACTTTTACGATAATAAAACTGTGTTTAATCGTTATTTCAATCCTAAATAACCCTTCAGGTTATGGGCCGAGCACACTTCAACTGTGCGTGATTAAAAGTTATCATAGATAAAAGGATTGGAAGCGATAAATCGGAAATTCCAAAAAGGACGCTATCGGGCGGCCGGGCACGTGTCCAGGTGGATCACACGCGTTCGTGCAAATCACAAGGAACACCCAAAAGAGAAAAATATCGAGGTGAGCTGGGGAGTGACTTCAGAAGGGAAGGAAAATGGAAAGTAATAAGAGGAAAAGTAAGTACTGAAAAATACATCTAATAAGTGCAGTGAATTGGCGAGACCGAGAGATAGAGGGGATCAAAATGGCGGCTGGAAATTAATTGTCCACGACGCCGACCTGAAATCGAGAATTTTAGATTAAAAAGAATTAATAAAGAAATCCCATTAAATTCACAAAAATCACTGAAAAGCATAAAATATCTTTTGTCATAAATAAAATCAAATTTAAAGCAAAACAAAAGAAGAAAGCCAAGTGACGCCGAGACAATAGTTTCTCGGCGGGGAAGGCAAGCACAGGCTTCAACAGGCTTCAACAAGTAGACGCAACGGGTGGGTTGCGCGTGCAACCGGGGTGCGTCTGAGAGAGAGGGACGACTGCAGTCCCACACACATTGCTCGAGCAAGGCGAGAACAATAAGAAATAGAAAGAAAAATAAAAATTAGTGTGTATATATAAAAATTGGTGTGAAAAACAAAAATTCTCTCTTTCTCGGCCGCGTTCCGCGTGTGTGCGGGGTCCACCAGCGTAATGTAAAGTAATAAAATAAAATCAACAGACACTAGTGCAAAATTGAAATTCATGAATTAAGGATGCATCAAAATCGAAATATTTAATTGGCAAGAATATTGAATCTAGAAGTATTTGATAGGCGAGAATAACAAATTAAATATTTGACGGGTCGAACCAAAGAAATTGAATTTTTAGAAATTGCCATCTTCAGACGAAGATATTTATAAATTAAAATTACAGCTGATAAGGAACTCTTGCATGAAGTGTAGAGACTCCTGATCAGACAACATTTAATCGAAGGAAACCACGAGGGAGAACTAGTCTCCCTGGCAATAGTAGACGATAAAGTGTATGTTCTACCAGACAAAGGAACAGGATATGTAACAGGTGAGACATCAGGCATACGTGTTAATGGGCGAGCATACTATACACATTAGAAACGCGGAATATTAAGACGTCAAATTGCTTGAGAAAATTAAATCAATCTCTTGCAATCATAAAAGACTTGAGTGTGTTTGGAGGAGGTCTTATGTTTAGATTTTCTGAAGAGCACACTCATCCTGGATTCGGTTTGTTTATGTTTAGCAAGTCGAGTCTGGGATTTCGGACCTGAATACAAAAACTGTAACCAGATACAATAATCCTCAATTTTTCGGTCTCTTTAAAATTAGATAAAAGAGAATTCACAGGGGATCAATGGAGATGTCTAACTGTGTTAGAAGCTGCATTGTTGGCCGAAAATAAGCCAATGTATCTACCAGGTTACGGTCCGAAGAGTCCAATGTCAACAACAGCTGTAATCGAGTATAGGTCAAGGAACATGAACAAAGACTTGGGAAACACGGAGGCGAGGGCCACAGGCGAGTCCAAGTCAAGCAAATTGACTGGAGGCGAGACGAATGGCGGCGAGATAAGTGCAGGCGGGAAAAACACAGGTAATATTAATGTTGACAAAACTGACCAAATCAAACCGAAACCCAAGATTACAGCAGACAATAAAGTAAATATTAAATTGAAATTGATAAAATCTAATCTAGATGATGAAACAGTTGAGCCTAACGGCAACAAGACTGTCAAGACAGTTTCTGTAGACATACAGCTGGCTGAGCTGAAGAGCATGGTGGAAAAATTGTGCAACTCAAATATAACTTCAACAAAGGCACTGTATGAAAGTTTAACAGAGAACAGAAACCAGTTGAAAATAAATGCTGAGGCGAGAGCAAAAGATAAAAAGGAAGTACAGGAGCTGTTGAGTGCCCTGGACAAAAAGCACAACGATAAAATAGAAGAAGTAAAAAGAACTTTCAATGAATATCGCACTAATGTCGAATCATCAATTAAGGTAACAACAAACAAGAAAAAATTAGACGGAGGAGTGGCGTCAAATGAGCATACGAATCTAGAAAATCAAATTAGTTCAATAGTCAATAAGCAGATTAATGAAATTAATCAGACAAAGTCAAGTCAAGGAAACAATCAAAATCCGTTGAAACAATTAACTAGCGAGGTAACAAATAAATTACAAATAGAATTGCTTAACAAAGGAATGAGCTTTAAAAGAGATTATAAAATGGACAGCAAAATGAAGTATGAACATTTCTATGATTATTTTTCATCAGAAATCAAAACGAATAAACTCTTACACATCATTGACGATAGCATTCTGGTTACTGTGGATGAGGAAACTCTTGCAGAACAGAAGCATAAAGTTAGAGAAATTCTGATAAACCATTTGGATAGAAGTTATCACCCTAAAATCGTCAAACTACAAGATCCAAAAGAAATATTGAAAAAATTAAAAGAATTAAAAATGGCCGAGTTTAATGTAACTTCACACTCGGTGAGACAAGACCTGTATAATATGAGATACAATCCAAACAAAATGACAGCTGGCGAGTTTAATGATTTATTTGATGAGAAAATTGCAACGTATAAAAATGCTCCTGACACCATTCCTCTGAGTGAAAGCGAAAAGAAAGATGCATTTTACAATGCAGTAAGAAAAGCTTTTCCGAATATTAAAATCATTGAAAAAGTAACAAAGAAAGCTATAGGAGTGGGCTTAACGTTTGGCGAGTTGAAAATTGCGATGTTAGAAGAAGAAGCTACGACGAAAAGTGAGCTCTTAGATTCAGATCTTAAAACTGCTAATTTTGCACAGCACAAGGAGCCGAGGTGTTTTGCCTGTCAGGCGTATGGGCACAAAGGACCAGACTGTCCCAATAAAGGGAGAGGATACTTGTGCTACAAGTGCAATCAATTTGGGAATCACAAGGCGAGAGATTGCCCAAACATCATTAACAATGACAATGCACCAAGTGGTCCGGGATACTCTAAACAGACTCCAAGGTACAATTCCAATTCAAAGATTAATTATAGAAACAATTGTCGAGATCAATATAGAAGTAACGATAAAGGAAAGAAAAGGCCAATGAGAGGTGAAACATATGGTCCAATTAAAAGAGGAAGATTCAATAAGAGTAGGTTCTCCTATAAGAGAAGCGAGAACAAACATAGGTTTAAGTCATCTCACAAATCAATCAAGAAATCTAATCCCGACAAAACTACAGAGAAAAATAACTCCAATCAAGGTAAGGAAAAAGAAAATTATGATCAATCAACTACTGAAATATTTTATGCAGATAGTAAACAAACAAATGGAAATAAGTAGGGGTGTGCGAATATTCGAAAATTCGAATAATTCATCGCGAATCGAATTCGAATAATTCGATCCAAAAACGAATCGGATAATTCGAAAATTTCGAATTATTCGAAGCTTCGAATTATTTGAAAATGTCAAATTATTCGAAAGTTTCAAATAATTTGAATCATTTCTTTCTGGTCTCACAGCCGAGACGATTTGGTGAAGGGGAAATGCATCAATGAGGAGACGGTTTATGTGGTATCTCTAATACATGGAAGGGAGGAGTTCTCTCTTCTTCATTTGTTAGGACACACCCAGGGAAAGACTTCTGGGAGAAAAGTCTGGGAAGTTTGATGGGTGAAACTTCTTCGAAATTATTAGCTGAATTTTTGCGGAAAATTTCCGAATCTAAGAGAGATAGTGAGATTTTCACAATGACCTTTTTGATAGCTCTCGAATAGCTCTAAAAAAAAGATGCTAACAAGAATTCTGATATCCACATTCGATTTTGACATATTCAGCGAAAACTACTAGTTGAAACGGATTGAAACCGTTTGACCGCTTAACTAGTGAAATATGTTCAGCTTTAGTTACAAAGAAAAAAATCAATTGCAGTTAAAATATTTTCATGTAATTCTCCTCCGATTGAGGGGAATACGAGACATTTTGTTGCAGTTCAAGAATCTATGCTCGAATAAAATTTTTTCCTTCAATAATGAACATTCCCTTGCGTTTTCCATTCATACCGACCGATTTATTCTCCATGAAAAAAACAACATATTGAATTTCATTCCACTAAAATTCATCAATTTGCATGTTCTTCAGTTTAATCCGGGAAAATATTTATCTCCCTCAGAACGTGAAGTTTTGATAAAATTAAAATAAAACAGTTGAAATGAAGTCGAAATTGAATAACCATCGAAACTGAGGGTCACCAGATTCAAATATGAGCGTCCGGAATGTAATATAGTTGGAAAAGTGACTCAACAATATAATATAGATAAGAAAATGACGGTAAAACATACCGACTAAAGTGACCCTCGTGGCCCTCAATTTTAACCCATATTCAATATAAACCTTCCCTCCTACCCATTTGTTTGTCATTTTTTTTACCTTCACTTACAATCTTTATTTGTGACCTTTCTGACTCTCATCTTTAACTATTATTTTCGATACTTAATTTCGACTCTCACTTATTACCTTTATTCTGAATCCATAATCTCGTCGATCATTTCTGACCCTTATTTATAACCCTCATTACCGGCTCTGACTTATGATTTTCATTTCTGACTCTCACGTCTGAATAACTAGTGGAAGTTCAGAATAGTGAGGGATACTGATTTGAGTTTCCCGCCATATGCGGATTAATGCCAATTTTGAAAAGTCACCAGGCTGGCGCTAGTGTCGGTGTTGTTATTGTTTATACCGTACCGGCGCCATAAGACTTAAAAGTCGATCTGTCCACCTGGAGGTAGAGTGTCAGTGAATAAATTCACAATATTCTGGAATTTAATTATTCATTTCCATTTCATCTGAGTCAAAAATGGATAATGATGAGAATCGTGAAGAGGATGTTCCATCAGATAACGATGAAAATGGGGCAGAAACATCAAAAAATCAAAGAAGTGTAGCTTGGAAGTATTTCACTGAAATGAGAAAGGACGATATTAAATGTGGGAAATGCAATTATTGTGATGCCGTAATGCAGATAAGAAAAGGTAAGTACTGATTAATTAGTTTTGGGGGCCAAATTACGATGGTGAATTTATCTAATGTAAATTTATTAATCAACTAAGCCCTCTTGGATTCGATGTTCAACTCTGGTCTTGGGCATAAATGAGAGGGTTAATCGTAGACATTCATGGACAAAACTTCAGAATTGAATAATTGTTCAGCATTCGACAACCACCGTAAAAATTAGAAGAGTTGTAAATAGTTATTCCAAGTTTAATTATCCATAGGTACATTCCTTATTTTTGTGGCTAGCTACTTCATGCATATCGCATTTTCTTTGTTCTGCATGGGCATTTTGTTTCCCTTTGTTCTACCCTTTGTTCTTGTATTGGGGGGGAGGGGGTGATATTTGCAAATGGTAGGAGGGACTTAGTCCAGTGGTGAGTCTGTCAATCACCGCGCAGAACACTACAAAGGACACGGGTTTAAATCCCGAGTGCATATAACTACTTTTTTTTCGATCGCAATCGAGTTCGGATTCTATATAATTTTATACATGAAACGCTGGTCATGAAGTGATCCTCAAACCCGAGATCACGAGGTCATGAGGTCAGCCACGATCGGTAGTGAAACTTACATTGATGAAATTGGGATTTGAATCGTAATCATAATATGCCCGTAAGGTAGAGAAGAAAAATTTGAATGTTTTTTTTGCAATATCACTGCCGCAGAGTTAAAGAAATGTAAGTCCAATGCTCTTCTTTTCTTTTCATTTTCTATCGATGAATTAGTTTCCTGCAGAACAGTCATCTCTAGATAAATTTCAGTTGATAGAATAGAGCATTCGAAAATGATGATATAAAAAGGCGTATCTCCAGATTTAGAGATGAAACAAGTAGTTTTCTCGCTGACCAAGATCCGAGAATGAAGTCTAATTTCTTGCGACATTTCTCTAACAAAATCTCATTTGATCGAAAATTTCTTCAGGTACGACAACTCCGCTGTTCAATCATCTAGCATCGGCACATCCAGACGTTGCTATGCTCTGTGAGGCGGAGAGGAAGAAAAGAAAGCAGGAATCTGACCATCACGCACATTCGAAAAGGCAGAGGAGACAGATGAGTCAAACAAAAAAGAAGAAAATTGACGAACTGATCACAGAAATGATTGTTCTCGATCTCGAACCCTTCTCAGTTGTCAATCGAAGGGGGTTCAATAGACTTATCGAATATTTTGCTCCAGACTATGCTCCTCTTGATCGTACACACATATCTAGAGATCTCCTGCCAGAACTCTATGAAAAAACCAAAAGAGCTGTTGAGGAAGAACTCAAGAACGATGTGGAAAAAGGAATTAATTGCCTATCATTCACCACTGATGGCTGAAAGTCAGCAACAGGTCATTCCTACTTNAGAACTCAAGAACGATGTGGAAAAAGGAATTAATTGCCTATCATTCACCACTGATGGCTGGAAGTCAGCAACAGGTCATTCCTACTTGTCACTTACAGCTAGTTATGTCACTTCTACTTTCGAGCTGAAGAACTTTACGTTGGGATTAGAAAATTTACTGAAAGAGCACACTGGACGCAACCTGAGAGATACTTTGGAGGCCATGCTCAGCGAATGGGCTTTGTCTGATTTAACTAACGTTCCAAAGTATTTCGTGACTGACAATGCTCGTAATATTACATCAGCAATTTCTGCAGGTGGATGGAATAGTGTGTACTGTTTTCCACATACTGTCAATCTTGCCCTTCAGGACGTTATACAAGGCATCCCGGAATTGAACGAAATGCTCACAAAGGTATGCAATTAAACGCTTCTCTCTCGAACTAATTTTATAGTTAATTATTTTAACTATGATAACATAAGAATTTTTAAACCACAAATCTGATCGAGGCCAGTCGACACTTGTCGGGAACAAAAAAGAAGATTGGATACATTTGTTCAGTTTTATTATTCATTTGGTAAGTTCAATGATTTCAAAATTCAATTTCACANACAATTATTTCAAAATTCAATTTCACAGGTTCGTAGGATAGTCACTCACTTCAATCACTCTGATCCCGCTAGAAGAGCATTGAAGAATGCTCAACTTGAAAGAGGAGTTCAAAATCCCTTATCGTTAGTTCAAATGGTGGTCACGAGATTCAACAGCGAATACCTAATGTTACACCGAGTTGTAGAGTTGAAACAATCCCTCCCAGTAGCGATTTCAAATACTACTCTGAAAGAAACTATTAGTGGTCTTGAATGGATTGAACTGGAGAGAGTAGTGAAGGTACTCGAGCCATTGGTCATTGCGACGGAGAAGGCTTCAGCGAAGAAGACACCCACCTATTCCATGATCATTCCATTGATTCGGGGAATGATTCATAAATTGGAGAAGCTCTCCGCGGACTGGATATCTGAGACACCATCGCGAAGTCTAGCTGAAGGATTGATTGAGTCAATCACAGCCAGATTCCCGCAGTTGAATGAGCAAAAAGTGGCTACATTCCTCGATCCCAGGTGCAAGGGGGCTCTTTTCACACAGGAAGTGCAGAAAGAAGTAGAAGATGCGATTTTGGAGGAGATAGAGGAAGAGTTCGTATGCAGTAGTCAATCGTCAAGCAGCCAAAAGACATTGAGCGGCAGTCAACAGTCCCAGCAGTGTAAGTCTCGAATATTATTGATCGAGTGATCAAAATAATTTTCACTGTACAATTTCGAAAAAATATTTAAATTCCATGGACAGTCGACTACGAATTTCCAGCACAGTGGCACAGAATGTGATTTAGGGGGAAAAATAATGAAAATTCGGGTTTTCCAGATAATTCTGTGAATTTTCCGAATTTTAGGCAGCATGAAGACGAGAATTCCTCAAAGTCTTTGAATTTCCAATGGTGTATGAATATTCAATACCGAATTACATTGACTTCTCTGTGAAATTTTTTTTTATTATTATGATTTATTTCCCCGGAAAACGTATTTCGTATCACTGTCCTGGAAATTCAAGAATATATCTATCGGATTTTCGAGTTTTCTATTAATTTTCGAGGAGAAATTCAATTGACATTTATAGTTCTCAATAATTTTTCCACCCAATTGTGAATTTTCAATGACGAAATTCCTTGAAATTTCAGTGGAACTTGAACGCTTGTATCGTTGACTTCAACTGACATGCGAATGATATTATTCAAAAAAGTGGTCCCACAGTGGCTACTCCATAATCAGCCCAGTCCAGGATACCTGTCATTGGTCAGCTTCATCAATTAATAACGCGTTAACTTTGTGGATATTTATTATTTGAATTTTGCAGCAAACGCATCCGATTTTTGGGACTTTATCGACGTCATCCGTGGGAATCAGTCTACATCAGGGGATCAAGAGTCTGCCACACGTCAAGAGATCGCTGGTTATTCATTGCTTCCACCTTTAAAGAAGGGAGACGATCCTCTTGATTGGTGGCGAAGTAATTCTACAGTATTTCCCAATTTGGCGTTCCTGGCCCGTAGATATCTCAGTATCCCCGCCTCTTCCGTCGACAGTGAGACACTCTTTTCTACGTGCGGACAGGTGGCGGATAACGATCTACGATCAAGATTGCTCCCAGAAAATGTTAAAATAATAATTTTCCTCAACAAAAATTTGTAAAGATTCAATGCGAAGGCACCACTCATGATCTTGTAGATGTATTACACCATCAAAATTGATGAAAGAATACCTACAATATGTATCATTCACTCTCACAGTATCAAATGAGACTGATAGTTAAGTAACACTGATTCAAGTATAACAAGGAAAAATATCTTTCCTTCCATCAATTTTTGTTTGTTCAAAGTGACAATTTGCGTACATAAAGTCACAGACTGGCTTTTACGTTCTTACGGAATATGAGGTCGTTTGCGATAAAACATTAGAGGAGATTCCATTGTGATTCCATTGACTCATTTATTTAGTATTCATCCAGCTCCCCTCTTAGTAATCCAATCATGAATCCGGAGCATTCGAATCAACTTGAGCTGAATTTTTTTAAATTTTTTGTCACTTAACAATTTCGACATTTGTGGGTTACAGGGGAATTTACGTATACTGTTTCATCACTGTACGTCTTCTTAGTTAGTTGATTATCTAGGTTTTCGTTCCATTTTCGTTCCAATAAACAGATTTGTCAATAATCACTTGTTGTGACTTCAATTCCTACCTAGCCACCTTGAAATTAGCACCGCAACAATCAATGAAGTTGATTGATGAATGAAAAAATTTTTGAGTAGATTAAGAGATGTCAAGTTATCTCATTTGATTTGTCATAATAATAATATAAATATTTCCATTCGAATGAATTGAATATTTGAATCGTTCGAACTATTCGAATATTTTTCAAATTATTCGATCATTTCGAATATTCAATAAATTCGAATATTCGATTCGAAATTCGAATCGAATTCCACTATTCGATTCGATTCG